GTGCATATGCCTGCACCCGAGCAATGTCCATACCTGGCTGAAGAGTCACTGCCGTACAACCGTCAATCAGATAACGATCCAATCCCATCACATAACGATGTACCCTGTCTGCCATATCAGCCACAATAGTAGGCGCATGCCTAGCCAATGAATCGAACTCGAGGCTATACTCTCGAACGCTCCTGCCATTTTGCTTTAAACGCAAGAATCTATCGACTCTAGCTCGCTTCATCTCTGGAGGCAGGAAGTGGCCATGGAAAGCCTCCACAAATTCATCCCATACCGCTGGAGGAGCACCCTCACCCCTAGATAACTCCCAAGACTCATACCAATTAATAGCTACATCCCGCAAACGATACGTAGCCAACTCAACAGACTCGGTCTCTGAAGCCTTGATTATCCTCAATGTACGCTGCATCTGACGAATAAACTCTTCCGGATCATCCTGGGGCCTTGACCCAAAGAACTCTGGAGGATTACAACTTAAGAAGTCACGAGCCTTTAAGCTATCAGATCTGTCCGCATGATCAACTCCTAGTCCATGACTGCGAGCCTGATCTGCCACTAATCTAGTCAGCAATTGCACCGCATCTCTCATGGCCCTATCCTCCGCCCCTGACTGAGGAGCTGGAGGTTCAGGTGTTGGGGCCTCGGGGGCTGGTGGTGTCCCCCGAACTGGAGCTGCTGCTGCTCTAAGCTCCTCTGGCGGTGGCGGTGTAGCAGAGCTCTCCGACTGGAGCATAATACCAGGCATAGACTGGGCACGGTCCCTAGTAACTCTCCGGGTCTGACTAGTACCTTCTGCTACCGATTTTCCCTCCTGGGAGACTGTCGCTTTCTTTGGAGGCATAGCTGAAAATACACGGATTCGTTAGAGAGAGATTATCCTGTTAATATAGCTCTATCGCACGATCTAGAATAAGAAGAAAGAATGACATCCTAAATGTTCGGTAGCTTCCTATTTATAGATGTGGTGCACAACACACCGATAAACAAGACTCTACTAGACATGGTCTGTAGACACTTCCGAGGAAGAACCGCTCTGATACCACTCTTTGTCACGACCCAACCCGATGGGCCGTGACTAGTGCCCGTTTTGGACACCCACATACAAACCTGCTAAGTATAACCAACTGAAACTAAGACAATATGGAATTTAATCAAATCAAGCCAACCCCAACGTCATATATATATAAAGAGGACCTGTCTCATATGGAGTCATAACCATTCAACCATAACAAAATACGCGAGCCAACAAGGCTGCCACTATTCAAAGCATAATAACATACGTAAGCCGACAAGGCTGCCACTACACAATACACAATGATGTATGCATCCGACAAGGCTGCCCCTGTACAAGCGGTCATCCTAAACAAACCATGTCCAGACCATTACCCAAAACATATATATACAACCCACATAATGTCCACAGACCTCTAAGAGTACATTAGTGAAACTCGACGGGACAGGGCCTCGCCATACCCATAGATGAGCAAAAGACTACACAAAAGTTATGTACCAAAACGACTGGGCTCCGGAACAGTGGAGCTCTCCCAATCAGCAGAGTAGATATCCTAGGCGGGAGGATCACCGAACTGTGCATCAACACCTGCGGGCATGAAACGCAGCCCCCCGAGGAAAGGGGGGTCAGTACGGACAATGTACTGAGTATGTAAAGCATAAGGTAAAGATGACAAGATACCAATATGGCAAGTCGAAACAAAATATCGCTACACATGTACCCTTTTAAGTGAAAATCATGAATATCTTTAACATATAAGGTGCCCAGCTTCCCTAGTAAGGGGCTCGACAAAATAATCATCACGTCATCTCCGTCATCATCATCATCATCATAACCATCCTCATCACCAATCATATATATAATATACATACCCGGCCCTCTAGTGAGGAAGTCGGTGACATATGCAAGAAACTCCGCACGAACATTACCTGCCCGGGACTCGGTGAAATGATAAATGACTCTATGCACGAGCAGAATATTATGAGCAACCATATGCAATTAAAATCATTTCTTATAACTCAATAGATCAATCAACGTGAACCAGCAAGGAGTATTACCAAAGATTAATGTTTTATCAAGATTATGAACCTTTAATACGATATGGAAACGTAAAATCTCAATGACTCTAAGAAGCACTACCATAGATATGAGAGATCATCATAGCCTTAGACATAGCCGATATATAGAGGATCAATTGTGGGAGCAAGAACATACGTCACCTAGACGCTCTAGAGGTAAGTATCAAATCTGTCTGTTATTCGCTTATTTTTAAAAGTCATGCCAAACAAAGAAAGAAGGGACAATGTTACATACTGTATAATCGAGCCGCACGTCCAATATTTACTGCTCAAGCTATTAATCTATAACAAGCAACAATCGTGCTGAAATTAGATAAACATCGCGCTTTACTTTCTTGTAAGCTAGCTAATAATCTAACGAAAATTCGGCAGCACTTCCCCTATTTTCCTTACTTCGTCCCAATCCGACAACAACCCAAATTATCCACAGCAATACCAATAACACATATAACCCAACGAATCATATTAAACAGCCCCCTCCCCAAAACAGTTCCGTCTCGGCAACCATAGCAGCGAAGAAACGACACACCGAGCGATAACTCGTTTTATAATTCGCATCACATCTACCTTATCGTATTCATCCTTTGGAGTATATACTCATAATCACATTCAACATATACATAATGCCAAAACAGAATTTTCCTGCAGTTTGCTTTAATCAAAATAGCCCAAGCACCAACACGACACCACTAATAATCCGATTATGGTTTCCGTTCATACTTAGCACATTCAATAACTAAAACAAACTTCCTAAGCTGTAGGTCACGCCCCCTTCTTAAAATTAATGGATAATTAACAAAGGTATTCTAAAGGATTAACACACCAAACAAGGACATTTCTAACAAAATTATTTGCAGCTGCTGGCCAAGAGTTGCAGGGTTGGTTTCTCCATTTCCATGGCTGCCTAAGACAAGTGGTGAAGAAGAAGATGATATGCACCAATGCATTTCACCACTTTATTTAGCATGGAGTGGATTTCTCCACCTCATTTAATAGTATGAAGTGGAGGCAGCCCCCTCTACACCTGTCCACTAAGGCCAGCTCACAATCTGATCCCTTTTAAAAATTTTTGCCTTGAGTGGTGGGGTCCACTAGATTAAATTAATCCTAATCAGCCACCAATTATGAGTGGTGGGGTCCATTGGATTAAATTAATCCTAATCAGTCACTAATTAATTCCTCACTTAAAGTTAATTGCACTTACATTAGCCAACTCATACTTAATATCACATTTGGAAATAACATCCTTGCCTAATATTTCTTTAATCACTTGGAACTTAAAATAAAATCTCATTCCCCGGACTTACGTCTACTAGATCATGATGCGCACTACGTATAAAAAAAAATACGAGGCATAACAGTTTCAACGTGATTCTAGGTCTTAGAAACTTACTATTTTTAAAACTGAATAGGCTCTTGACTAGGCAAGTACATTTTCTTAGAATCTCTATCTTTATTTTTCAATTGTGATTAATTGTTGTTAAGTAATAATGTTACATTGGAGTATGCCTTATATGCTAATAGGGTGATATGATGTTGAATTGAAATGTCTTGACTATGTTGTGAGATTGATTAAGATGTATGTGATATAAGGATGGTGGAAACCATCAATGTGTCTTAATATGCTATGTATATATATACATATATATATATACATATACATATATATATATATACATATATATATATATATATGTATATATATATATATATATATGAAATGCTAATATGTTGACATCACTCATATGAATTGTGATGAAAGAACTTATACTCATACAATTCTTATTGAGCTATTGATGATGATGAATATACAAGGGATAGACCCTATGACCTAAACTAAGGTATGATCGATAATTAAAGTCTTCAAGACATTTCAATGAAGGGACTTAGCTTAGCACCGAGTGAACTTGACAATGGAAGGTGATGACTTCAAAGAGGAAGATTTTCCCTATAGTTCAATATGATATGTTGACTTCCCAAAGAGGAATACTAATCTAATGGATTCCCATGTTAGGAGGATTCAACTACCAAGTGGTATCAAGAGGGAATATACTATCTCTTAGTTCTTGAACTATGTTGCCCCCATAGGAAGACTAGCTAATGGATCCACCTAGAAAGTTATGTTTGTGTTTGGTTCTACTTTGGCCGGTACACCACCTTTCATCAGTGTAAGGGTTTACAACACCAGATTCCATACTGAGCTCATGTGGTCTATGTCAGTTAAGGTAAGTGTTCCCTAAAGTAAAATAAAGTAACGAAGTATATACTAACTAAGGTTTCTTGAGAGGATTAACTTAACCCAGGTAGGCGTATGGGACTCTACCTGTGCCTTGCACTAGTTGAGTTTGATGGAAGATTTAGGAAGTCGATATCATGTAAACATATGATAATGATGTATATGATGATAATATATTGATGCTACAATCTAAATTTCTATATATGATGATGATTATCCTCTTGATATATCTAGTTGGACTATATTGTTAAAGTTGGACATTGGTTATGTTCTCTTGTTGAGTATACTTGGTTGGGCAAGGTTATGGGTCTTTGCTTGGTCATTGCACTTGTTGACTTGATAAGTATTTATGAGTAGTTGTCTTGCTTATTATGATATGATTGACTCTTATTCATTCTTGTGAAAATACTCCTTGATCATAGGGTTATAGTAAATCATTGTTTTAACTGTGTTGGGATAAGTATTACTTGTGAGATAGAAAGCATGTTTGGTTGCTTGACATGACTTGCGTGACTTTGCATTAAGTTCCTAAAAGGGTAAAATGGCATGTTTTAACTAAAAGTCCCCTTTTAGCATGTTTTGGTTGTATATGTGCATAAGGTTTCGTAGTTAGTACATGTGGAGTACTAACTCTATTTTCTTCCCTTTTTCCCAAACATTTTAGGTTCCGTCGTTGAAGAATTTGGAAGGCGGCATTGTTGAAGGCTTGAATTCTTCCTTTCATCCAAGTGAGGTAGGTCCTCAACATATGTGGTCAATGCCATCATCTAGCTTACAGACTTTTTATGAGCTTAATGACTCTTTCATTTCTTTTCTTTTCAATTGAGTACTACACTTTTTTATGACTTATATGTAGTCTTGTTGGATTGACGTAAGGGCTATTCCCATATTGTAATAATTGTTTAGATGGTATGAGATGAGACAATCGTTGAAACTATTTCTATATTTTATATATTTATATGTTCAATAAAAGTAGAAGACTATGTAACCTTCCTATACGAAGGGTCTATGTATACTCGATATGAATTATGTCTCTCTTTACCACGTCTATGTAGGTTTGTATTCATTATTATGAAATGCGCCACACTTATGAGTAGGAACCTATATGATGCTTAGGAATCACTCTCTTTCTCGGAAATCTTATATCATGCCAATAGAGTATACTTATGTGTGCTTTTACATCTAAACGTATTGTTGTGATTATAGGAATCATGAATTCGAGAAGGAATACGACTTGAAGACTTAAGGAGGAAGTTGCTAATGTGGGAGCTCCTCCCTGTGGTGACCAAGTTCCTCCTCTTAAGGAAAATGCTAACGTTGACCAAGCCCCGGCTAACCCTCTACCAATGACGGAGGCTGAGATGAGGGGTATTGTTGCTCAAATGTCCCAAGCCATTATTACTCAAGCACAAGCTGCGACGGTTCAAGCCCAAGCTATGACGGCCCAAGCCAATCGAGAGATTGTTCCCCGTCCTCATCAACAAGTCACTACTATGGCTTCCTGTCTAAGGGACTTCACTCGAATGAATCCTCCTACATTCTATAGCTCTAAGATTGATGAATACCCCCAAGAATTCATCAATGAGATCTATATGATACTATATGCAATGGGGGTGTCTTAAAGTGAGAAGGCCGAGTTGGCCACATACCAACTCAAAAATGTGGCTCAAACTTGGTATATACAATGGAGGGATAATAGGCCTTTGAGTGGTGGTTCAGTGACTTGGGAGATCTTTAAGGTTGGTTTTCTAGATCGGTTCTTCCCTAGGAATATGAAGGAGGAAAAAGTGGTGGAGTTCATCAATCTTCGCCAAGGAGGACGGAGTGTCCATGAGTACCCTTTGGAATTCATTAAGTTGTCCAAATGTGCTCCTTCTCTGGTCTCCAATCCCAGAGACCAAATGAGTCGTTTTATGCCGAGGGTGTTGAAGGACCTACAAAAGGAGTACCAATCGGCCATGCTACATGACAACATGAACATTTCCCGTCTTATGGTGCATGCAAAAAGGATTGAGGAGGCAAGGACTAAGCGAAAAAGTAGAGATGCTAATAGAACAAGGTCATATGATGGTTGTTCTTCAAAGAATAAGCTTGAATACAAGACAAGCCTAGATTAGAAGCGGATTTCTAATCAAGTCCTTTCTAAATTTCCAAAACCTGTGGGTGATAGGGTGTCTAACCCTAAATTCAAGAGGGGAAAAGGTACTAATTCACCAAATGAGAATCCTACTTGTGCCAAGTGTGGAAAGGGCCATCTTGGTGAGTAATTGGTAGGAACGGGGATTAACTTTAGTGGTGGAAAGAGTGGTCACAAGATGAGAGGTTTTCCTAACTTGAAAAGTCATGACAAGGGTAGTTTTTCAAGTCAAGCAAGTGGTTCTAGTGATGATCCAAAGAAGAACCATTTCTATACTCTCCGCTCTAGTGGTGAGCAGGAGACTTCTCCCGACTTGGTAACCGGTATGTTGAAAGTTTTCTCTCTTGATGTATATTCCTTACTTGATCCTGGTGCTACTTTATCATTTGTTACACCTTTAGTAGCTAAAAAGTTTGATATTTTACCCGATATTTTGCATGAACCATTTATAGTGTCTACTCCGGTGGGTAAGTCGGTTATTGCAAAAAAGGTGTATAGAAATTGTCCAATAATGTTGCCCAATAGAGTTTCTTTTTTTTGATCTAGAAGAACTCGATATGTTTGATTTTGATATTATATTGGGTATGGATTGGTTGCATGCATGTTTCACATGCATTGATTGTAGGACGAGAGTGGTGAGGTTTAACTTCCCAAATGAACCCGTTGTTGAGTGGAAGGCGGTTCTTTCATAGAGGTCGTATTATTTCTTGTATAAAAGCATGCAAAATAATCTCAAAAGGTTGTCTCTATTATATAGTAAGAGTCCAAGATCTAGACTCCGAAGTTCCTCCCATCGAGTCAGTACCCGTAGTGAGTGAGTTTGCGGAGGTCTTCCATAATGACCTTCCCGTTATTCCTCCTGAACGATAAATTGACTTTGGCATGATTTGATGCCTGATACAAATCCCATATCAATTCCTCCTTATCGGATGGCTCCGACTGAGTTGAAGGAGTTGAAGGCTCAACTCAAGGATTTACTAGATAAGGGTTTTATAAGGCCTAGTATTTCTCCGTGGGGTGCTTCGGCTTTGTTTGTGAAGAAGAAAGATGGGTTCTTGAGAATGTGTATTGATTACCGCCAACTCAACAAGGTCAGTATTAAGAATAAGTACCCTCTCCCTCAGATTGATGACTTGTTTGATCAACTCCAAGGGGCGAGTTACTTTTCAAAAATTGACTTGAGATCGGGGTATCACCAACTTAGGGTAAGAGGTGAGGATGTACCAAATACGACCTTTCGAACTAGGTAAGGGAACTATGAGTTCTTGGTCATGTTTGTCGGTCTCACCAATGCTCCAGCGGCGTTTATCGACCTAATGAATAGAGTGTTTCGAAATTACCTAGATTCATTTGTGGTCTTTAGTGACGATATCTTGGTATATTCAAAGAATAAGGGTGATCATATAGGTCATTTGAGAGTGGTATTGCAAACTCTTAGAGAACATCCATTGTATGCCAAATATACTAAGTGGGAGTTTTGGTTGAGGTCGGTGATATTTCTTGGGCACATTATCTCTAGTAAGGGAGATGAGGTATACCCAAGGAAAATCGAAATAGTGAAAAATTGTCCTAGACCATTGACTCCAACAAACATTAGGAGTTTCGTGGGTCTAACGGGTTATTATCAAAGGTCCAAAGATGGTTTTGCGTCTATTGGGTCTCTTTTGACCCAAAATAGTAAAAAGTTTGAGTGGTCGAAGGCGTGTGAGAAAATCTTTCAATTGTTGAAAGATAGGCTTACTTCCGCTCCGGTGTTGATTTTAACGGAGGGTACAAAAGGTTTTGTAGTGTATTATTACGCATCCCGAGTGGGGTTGGGGTGTGTGCTTATGCAACACGACAAGGTTATAGCCTATGCCTCTAGGCAATTTAAGGTACATGAGAGAAACTATCTCACTCATGACCTTGAGTTAGAGGCTGTGTTGTTTGCTTTGAAAATTTGGAGGCATTACTTGTACGGAGTTCATGTTGATGTCTCTACCAATCATAAGAGTCTCCAATACTTGTTTACCTAGAAGGAGTTTAATCTCTAACAAAGAAGGTGGCTAGAGTTGTTGAAAGATTATGATATGAGTGTCTTTTATCACCCTAAGAAGGCTAATGTATTTGTGGATGCCCTAAGTTGTATGACTATGGGTAGTGTATCTCATCTTGATGAAGCCAAGAAGGACCTAGCAAAGAAAGTACATAGTTTGGCTAGGATGGGGGTGAGGTTGAATATTTCTCAAGATGGGGGTTCTATAGTTCATCATAACTCCGATCACATTAGTGGTTGAGGTGAAGTACAAACAACAACACCTTGATCAAGCCTTAATAGAGTTAAAATAATCGGTTATCGACAAGTTGAATGAATCATTCTCCTTAGGGGGATGGTGTGTTAAGGTACTAAGGGAGATTATGTGCTCCCGATGTAGATGGGTTGGGGATCAGATCCTAGAAGAAGCACATGGGTTCCACTACTCAATTTATCCGGGGTCGACAAAAATGTACTATGACCTAAGGGAGATATATTGGTGGGAAGGTCTTAAAAGGGACATAGCGGAGTTTGTCTCTAAGTGTCTAAATCGCCAACAAGTAAAGGCCGAACACCTAAAGCCGGGTGTCTTACTACAAAAGATCCAAATTCCTACTTGGAAGTGGGAAGATATCAATATGGACTTTGTAGTAAGTTTACTTCGGACTCAAAAGTCATATGATTCCATATAAGTGGTTGGGGATTGATTGACTATGTCCGCTCAATCTATATCCGTCAGTCTGTATATTCGGCGGAGGATTATGCAAGAACCTTCCTAGATGAGATTTTGTGCTGCCATGGCATTTCTTTATCCATCATATCGGGTCGGGGCGCAGAATTCACATCTAGATTTTGGAGGTCGTTTCAAAAAGGGTTGGGTACTATGATGAAGTTGAGCACCGCTGTTCATCTCCAAATAGATGGTCAAGCGGAGCGTACGATACAAATCCTTAAAGATATGCTTAGGGCATGCATTATTGATTTTAAAGGGAATTGGTATAAACGTTTACCTTTGGTGGAGTTTGTCTATAATGATAGTTTTCGCTCATCCATTTCCATGGCTCCCTATGAAGCCTTGTATGTAGGAGGTATAGGTTTCCTATTGGATGGTTTGAAGTGGGTGAGCCATCACTTCTTGGTCCCAAGTTGATCTATAAGACTTAGTGAAAGGTTCATATCATAAGAAATCGGTTGCAAACGGCCTATAGTCGGCAAAAGTCTTATGCCGATCATTGGAGAAGGGATTTGGTGTTTCAAGAAGGTGATAAGGTGTATTTGAAAATTTCACCAATTGAAGGGGTAATTAGATTTGGCTAGAAAGGGAAGTTGAATCCTCGTTATGTGGGTCCCTATGAAATCTTGCAGGTTGGTAAGGATGCCTATGAATTGAAACTTCCTAGTGAATTGGCTTTAGTTGATCCGATTTTCCATGTTTCTATGTTGAAAAAGTGTATCGTGGTCCTGAGTCCCTTCTTCCTATTGAGGGTCTTGGTGTCAAGGATAACCTCTCGTATGAGGAAGTTCTGGTTCAAATTCTTGATAGGCAAGTCAAGAAGTTAAGGAATAAAGAGGTGGTTTCCGTAA